TAAAATGTCATGTGCGGAGGTATCAAGAGTCATTGGTGTTGACTGTCATCGTTCAACAGTTTACAGAGCTGCAAAAAGAGCTGAACATATCGATTTCCGACAGCCAAACACCAAACCACCTTTGTCGCCTGAGCATAAGAAGGCAAGACTACAATTTGCAAAAGACCATATCGAATTTGGAGATAAATGGTTAAAGGTGATGTTCTCAGATGAGAAAAGGTTCAATTTGGATGGCCCTGATGGCTACAAATGTCATTGGAGAAACCTGAATACGCCTGAAGTGCAATTTTCTAAACGTCAGTTCGGTGGTGGCGGCGTTATGATATGGGCTGGAATCACTTACAACGGTACTACAGACATAGTTTTTTGCCCTAAAAATGTCAATTCAAGTGGATATATTGATATATTGGAGCAATTCATGGTTCCATCAATCTACGAAATGTGTGGCATCAACCCAATCTTCCAACAAGATAACGCTACAATTCATACCTCTAGAGCTACTAAAGATTGGATTTCGCAAAAAGGTATCGAATTATTGCAATGGCCATCAAGATCACCAGATCTAAACCCAATTGAAAATGTTTGGTCCATTTTAGCGAGAAGAATCTATGGAAAAGGTCGTCAATACAATGCAATCGACGAACTCAAGCAATCAATCGTCCGTGAGTGGCATCAGATTGATCAGTCAATGATTCAAAACAATATAATGTCAATGAAGGATCGTTTAGTTGAGGTCATAGCAAAAAACGGCGGTAGCACTCATTATTAGTCTTTAATTAACTAAAATTAATAACTGTCCTTAATGCCATGCAACAAAATTTTTCATGATAAATTTTGATTATTTAAATTAAATTAAAACTAACTAACCAATATGGTTAATACTTAGTAAAATAACTAATCATTGCTCAATGGACATCGCATATTTAACCATTCATCTTCTCACTCGAAATCAATTAATTTCCATCAACTTTTCTGATCAAAAAGTTTCTATGCATCACAGTGTATGTCACTGTAGTCACAGAACAAGAAGAAGAATCCGTTTTTTAACCTTAAGATTCACTCTCGATAAGTTAATCTAATAAGCACACATTTACCATTTGATACATTGATGAATGTTCAATTTGTAACATTGTCTATCTCATCATATTGGAGTATAAAATTGGCACATTTGCTCATGAAGCAAATCAAGCTTGCAATCTTGACCATGAATGCTCGGAAATTCATTGTTTTCATAGACAAATTGAATTTGCTTGGAGCAACGAAAAGAGAAAAATTGATCAATTTGCTTTTGTTTAATCAAATTGATTGACTAAATCATTTCTCATGAAACTAATGAATCTTGTTACCGTTCGGAATTCAACCTTATTAGCTGATAATAGTCATTATATCTCATTTATCTTATCATTAATCTTATTTATTATTAAATGCTTGTAATCAAAGGAGCAAAAAGAGAAAGTTATTGAACTATTATTAATAACATCATCAATGAAAAAAAAACTGAAGGCAAGATCAAATGAATAGAAGAATATCACAATTCATGACTGATTATTGAACTGTCTATTAATAACATCACATCGATATCATCAAGAGATGAAAAAAAGAAAAAAAGAAAAAAAAACTTCTTTGATTATTCATTGATATTCCCATTTATTACAATAATCATTATCGTCATTGTTGGTGCAAAGTGAGTGGATGAAAATATTGAAATATATCAAGTTCAACTTGGAATCAAATTTTACTTTTTTTCATCTCAACAAAACCACTCAAAAAATGTTGAACAAAAATGAATAATTTTTCATAAATGTGATAATATTTCATGGTTAATATTGTACCTTTGAATGTAATATGACAAAAAAGACGCAAAAGTTTGCTGAATCAAATTTCTCAATAGAATTACAATTTCTCTCTTTTCTTCATATTCAATTTCGTTGCTTTTTCGAGACATTTTTCAACTGTTCGACTTGTGCCTTTTCTGTCAGAATTGAGATTGAGTTAGCATGAAATATTTAACTTTACCATTAAGATATCAAGTGAAAAGACATTGGAATGTTTTTTTTCGAGCCAAGAAGTAGCACACTTTTCCATTCATAATTCACTATTTTCATTTCAACTATTGAAAGTTATTCAAATTTTTACCAATTCTTTGACACTTTTCAGTGTTTACATGACTTGCTCTCAACCTTTTCTCATTTAATGGACACAAAATCAATTTGAAAACTTTACTTTTGCACCATTAATAAAAATAAGTTCAGATAATGGCTCAACTTAGTGAACCAAAATGTCGTCTTGTTGTTGTAAAATATGATGAGAAAATATTTTCAGTTTGAAAACATTTTACTTTGAAAATTATCTTGCAATCATAAATGTTGAACACAAGTAAAAAGCTCAACGTTTATCGATCTATTGCTAAATTTCTCATGATTGACTGAATTTTACTTTTTATCTTGAGAAATAGAAATGAATTGGTTTCACTGAATAGTTGGTTTCTGTGAGAGCAAGTTTCAAGTGTAATTTTGTTTACCAATTGCTGTCAAGTTTCACCTTCATTGAACTCATTTAATGGCGTCTTTCATTTCGTTTAAAGCCATTTTCTGACTCTTACTTTATATTATTAACAAGTAAACTGATCATTTATTTCCTATTGAGTACGATGTTCATTTGATTTGTGCTCTTGTCTCGCTAGCCTTTCGTTAAAAGTGCTTGTTCTGCTGCAAAACTTGCTATTTAATTAATGAAATGATCGCAAATAGCTTCAATTGATATTCAAAAAGACCAGGTAATCCAAAAGTTAATTTTTCCTTTAATGATTCTGACTTTGCGGCTGAAATGCACTCTCAACACCGCTTTCGTACTTGCCTTTTCTGGTCGAATTGAGATGCTCCTTTGATCCAAGCGCATCACAATCAGATAGAGCCAGAGGAAAATGTTGGCTCAATTACCGCCGTACATCCAGAATATATTAGACTAGAAGCCCATATGTAATAGCTAAGCGAATCAAACTTTTCAAGACGCACTTTCTGACCTCAGAATTCACAAAGGAAACTCTCAATCGTAACTAAAACTCAAAAAATCTAAGATTTAATTATGCGTCTCTCATAATTAGCTCATCTAATCAAAATGACTGGATTTTTATTAAACATTGATTTATGAGCTGAGTTTTTCGTTCGCAACTTTTTGACCAACCTAATATTAACCTGATGAATATTATATGAATAGATAATGTTCAAAAAAATGAGCAATTTTCAAATTACTCTGATTGAACGTCTCATTTTTCTTGTACTTTTAGTCAAATTATAGCGAGTTTGTTTTCAGGTTAATTTCGTTCATTTAAATTCTCATAAATTTTGATGAACGATCAATTTACAAGGTTTTGTGTTTGATAAACTCTAAAAATTAAGCCTAAAATGATTTTCTCCTGAGGTAACATCAATCATTTTCACACAATGCAGGAATAGATTGCTTTGCTAAACTTCAATTTTTCAATATTTAATCTTGTTCAACATCTTGTCCAGAAAAGAAAAAAGTTTCATGAGAAACGATACAATACGTTGCAGTCCAACGAATTTTATTTAAAGTTTTATCTGTAACACACTGGCAGTGGGGTACAATTTTCAGACCAAAGTCACATCAAAACCGTTTCTACCTTTTGACATTTCTTTAACTTGCTTTAGTTCAACAAAAACTTGCTCAATGAACACTTCAACCACAGATGGGTAAAAGCAAAAGTCTTTCACTAATGTTTGCATGTAAAGTAAATTTGATTACCAATTGGCTATAAACCAACATTGTTTGCCATTGTTAGTTACATTTTGATGAATAAGGATGAAATGAGATAGCAAAAGATCAAACATGAGGCTAAAGAGAAGTTTGAAGTTTAATCTTTCAATACAAAAGACTCAGTCAATAACAAGAATTTTACTGAATTTAGCCAAATGATCATCATTAAAGAATTTTTTTTCCACTCATTCATCACAATCTCACCAGGTAACCAAATAATGAGAAGACCCACATTTTCAAGCAGTTTCAAGAGTAAAAAGAGAATTGACGAAAAAAAATTCACTAAAAAAGCCAGCACAGCAAATTGTTGTTCAAATAGGAATAACTGTTTGCTCATGAAAAGAGCATTTCACTTGATTGTACCTGAAGGTTCATGAATTTGAGTTTATTCATTCTTCTCCAACAGAAAGTTACATCAGTATGAGATAAACATAAATATATCATATTTCAATTCTGTTTACCTTTTCTCTAATTAGAACAGATTAGTGTTTCAAGATGTTTATTTTTTTCATCTCAAGTATCATTGAGAGCGAAACAAAAAAGGAGAAATTTTTACACAAACATTCATTATGGTTAAAAGCTAGTGAATAAAAGTAAAGGAAGAAAGTTTATCAAAAGAATTGACTTTTTCACCATTTCTTGAAAACCTATTCACTATTCAATAATAGCCGATGATCATTTTGAGCTTGGAAAAAGATAAACAAATTAAGGATAAAAAATTATTCCAAATTTCACTAGCAACTAAAAACTAACTCCAAGTTTACTGGGAGTTTAGTTTATCCTCATCATGCGCAAAATTGCGTTACATTTACTTTTCCTTTTTTCCCACTCATTTGGTTTACTTTTTTGTTTCCTCTTTTACATCTTTTTATTGTCAGTGAAACTTGCCTAGTTTCAACACATTTCCTCCAATTTTTTCTTTTTGTTTCATGTGCTACCTGTTAATCTTACCTTAGTTTTTCCTGCTTATTTGTCAAGTGTATTACTTATCATTTAATAGACAAACAGTTTTCATTTTAAAAATCCTTTTCTTCTTCTTGTCTTGAAGCATTCAATTTGTACTCGACATTTTTTCCGCTTAAATCTTTTTCGTTTAATCTTGTGAAATGTTTCACCTTTACTTTTTTCACTATTGTTGTGTTTACTCAATTTCAGTTATTTGTTCAATCTACAGTAAACTTGTTTTCTAAATTTTTTTGTATCACATTTTGTTTCATTTTCAGAATCATGAGTCAAATCCATCGAAGTTAGACTGTTTTTTGACACATTGACCACCATCATTATCGGATTCACATTACATTTATCAAAGTTTCAATTTCGACGTTCAACAGTAAAGGATATCAACAGGAAAATAGTGAAATTTGAAATTGAGTGATTGTTCAACTCTTTCCAATGGATACATCAAAACTGTTGAATGATTCCATTTACATTCCACCAGATGGATTCAACAACATTGGCCTGATCCCTAGTTCATCAAATATTTCAGCCTTCATTGAGTTCCAAGGATTTGGTAAGCCAAGATAATTTGACAGGCCTTTACAAACCATTTTTCACCTGTAAAATGACCCATAACTAAAGAATCAATGACATGTTTCAATTATTTTACTTCTACTCAATTAAACTGTAAAAGTTCAACATCAGCGGAAATTGTTTAAACTTTTAAATGAATCACAAAAATGTTATCCAAGCAATCATGTTTCAGCAAATTCTTACATAGGTCCAATTTGTTAGGGTTATGAGTTAGTGAAAGAACCACAAGTGATAAACTTATCGAATGTGTACCGAAATAGAGGATGTATGGCCAAGGCTAATAGCTTTGGACCAAGTAATATTTCAGGTTTAGCGTACATTTCTCTAACAAAATTTTAAGAACTACAGACTTTTGATTAAGGTTAGAATAGAAAGAACTTTATTCAGATTGTATAAATAAAATTGAATTGAATTGAATCAAATTAAAGATTATCACAGACATTGAAGAGTTTGAATAGAATGAGGTTTGTAACAAAGGAATACTTGTTTCATAAAAAAGGAAACAACGGAGAAGGATTCTTTGTAGGTTGAGTACAACTATGTTGGGCAAAGAAATGTTGAGTACTGAAAGAAAAGGAAGTCGGAGAGAGTTTATATACAATATTGTGAAGGATGAGATTAGTAATTAGGATCAGATGGATTGAACTATTGATTAATGCATATTCATTGGTCATTGATATGATTTGCAGGGAGAATGATTAACTTAGTGTGTCAATCCCTTACAAATTGAATTAATGCGTCAACAGACTCATGTTGGTGCTAGTTATCAAGTTTTCTTCATAATCGTACAAATATTCAATTAGCCTGAGAGAACGTAAAGAATTTTGAGTTTATTAAAACAAAGAAATTTTGATTTACTTTTTGATTCATTTCTATAGGTATTAAATGCTCACTATTATTATTTTCATTATTTCATTCGAATATTAATGACTTTAATTTTAAAAAAGATTAATATCAATTATATGCAAATGTAAGATTATTTTTTCTCATTATTTCGATAGAAGTTACTATTGGAATTTGTTGACATTTCAATGATTTAGTTCATTTTCAGAGCAATAACATGTAAGCCTTTTGTTTTTAAGTCAACCATGGGAATATAAATAGAGAATGAGATTATCAAAAATTTGCTTTGAATCATATTACAAAACTCATGGAATCTAAAATATAATAATATGAAATAATTTTTTTAGCATAAAAATAAGCTCAATTTTTCTATTGATTTTATGCCTGTTGTTGATGAAATTTGATTGTTTTGTCAGGCTTTTGTTTGATTGAGTAAAAAGGATTCAGGAGAAAGTTGATCTCTCAAGAGTCTTTAGACTTGTTTATTCAATTCAATGTTTTTGTCTTTTACTGAGAAACAAATGATTCGCCATAAATGCATTGGTTTTGTTCACTCAAAATAAACATGTAATATTTCAATAAAATAGTCAATTGAATAATTCATCTTTCATCTTATCAACTCTTTAAACTGTTGTAAAACTCTTTACTGATCATGTTCAACTCATTTCAATTTCTTGGTGTAAATGACGAAATGAAGAGAATGACAAACTTGGATTGCTTTTCATGCCAAACTATGTAATCTTATTCTTTTTCATTAGATAATAGAATTACTCTGAAAGTTGATAAACTCGGAGAAAAGGAAATGAATTGATAAGAGTTTTTTTGTGTAACCATGAAATGAGATGAGAATAAAAATGGTTAAACCAAGGATGATAATGATGAATAGAGAAGCTGATGCTGTTAATCTGACGTTGAATTTGGGTTTGTTCGTTGTTGATCCATAAAATTAGTTGAAGTGAAAAGTTGCTCCTTATGGAGTTGAGTTAACCAAAACCATTGTAATAGGATTGAAAGTACTACTAGAAGTGAGTTAACATGAAAAGATGAAACATTTATTGCCATTGTTTTTACTCAATCAAACCTGTTGCTCCAAATGAACATTTTATTTTCCTTTTACACCTGTCACTCCATATCCTTTAGTAGCTCATAATCTGTCCAGCCTTTAATCCAACCGTGATGTACGACTTTGGTTTTCGCACAAGGTAATGATATCGGTTGTGTAACACTCTAGACTAATAAATTTTACGAATCGAGTTTCGAATGGGATTATTTCATTTTCATCTTTATAAATGAAATCCAGTGAACTTTTTCAATCAAAATCACTATTAACTCAATCTTGTTGCTGACAAAAACTTTTTTCCCTGTATTCACATCCTTACCTGTCTTTTTATTTCAAAATCGGAATTGAGACAAAAAGCTGTTAGTCATTAAAGAAATGTTATTATTAACGTGACCCGCAAACCAAAATTAAACAATGGAATCATTTTATAATTTTATTGAGATGTTAGTACTTACGTAGATTTCGTTCATTTTATTTTGCATGATAATAAAGAATGCGGTATAAAATTGAGTTTCAGTTTGCTATTTGATCATGAAACAAGTTAGATAGTCAAAAAAAGTTGAATTCTCTAGCAACAATCTCGCTTCTTTATCAATTATTACTTGTAGATTTAACCATTGATGCTTTGATTGCTTTGACGTGCGAATTAGACAGGTATCCTGTGACTTCAAGAATTGCACATTCAAAATTAATTAGACATGCTGGGCTAAATCAATGTTATAGGATTCGCTCATCTTAGTAATAGAGTTGAAACTTATTCGCGTTTGAAAAAGATGTATTACTAATTAAATCAACTTGACTTAAAATAACTCGTCAGATGGCGCTATCTTTCTTGATGACTTACCTTAATAGATTTCAAAATAGATTGTTTTAAGTCAAAACAAAAAAGTCTACAACACCGGGGGTTCCCAAGTGGTCTGCCTCCCAAGTACTAACCCGGCCCGAAACTGCTTAACTTCGGAGATCGGTGTTTTCAGTCTGGTATGGTCGTAAACGATGAAAATGGCTTAAAACTGAGATATAAACATAAAAACTTATTTCAATATTCAAGTATTGATAATAATATTATTTTTCTAATTGCTCATTCAAGTTTTCAAGGTACTGTAAGGGCTAAGATAACAAGACTCTTGGAACATCTTATTGACACTATTCTCCGAGCAGAGTGTCTCGATGATTTCAATCTTCTTCAATCGATCAAATTCAACAGAAATTGATTTTTTATCTTATTTCTAGTGTTTTTTATTAATATTTCACGAAAGAAAGTTTGATTGAGTTGAAAAGAAGTTCATCTTCTTCTCTTCAGAGTTCCACTGAACGACTGGACTGAACTTTTTTATTCTAAATCTCCAATACATGACTTATACATTGCTCCCTCATATGGAATATCATAAAATCAATAAGAATATTCATAGATTTGGAAAGGGTCGTCAAAGATGTAAAGATTTAATACCTTCTATCATTAATAAGGTATTATGCCTTGCTATGTCCGAGTTCTAATTTTAGTCTGTTCACAGTCTTATCACTGATATGAGACATTTCAGAACCGGTATCTAGTATTGCATCGCATTCTGACTTGTTTACTCTTATACGCTGATAAATAAGGTTTTTTTTAAATAAGTGTTATGCTGCTGGCAACGTCTTCACTTTGAACGAGTTCATTGTCTGAATGATTGTCAGTGTGACTGTCACTGTGCCTCTGTTTCGATATATTAATCATAAACACCTAAAATGTATTTTCATCAATCCTAAGACATAACTCTTGGATTTCATATATAAATTTGATAGAAGGCTGAAGTTGTTGGCTCGAATAGGACCTGTAATCAGCAGGACATAGGTCAGCGATCATGACGGCTTTTTTTCAGTGTAAATGTTGAATTTCACTTGATTTGAACTAAAAGTTGAGGTGTACCATCTTCTTGCTGTGCCATCTAGGTAAGCAGGAAGAATTTGATAATATTGTCTTGGCTCCATCCTAAAGCCTCAGGCGTATATTCGAAGTTGGTGTATTAATCAATGATATTAACTTGTTCTTCATCTCCAGTAAAAAAGGATATTGTAACAGGCATGGTTGGGTTAAGATACAGGACTCGTGGTTTTAGACATATTTTGCGCTCCAATATTAGGGGTGGTCCTAGCATAAGGATTGAAAAAACTAAGCAAGCTTAGAAAGAATGCCACCTTAACCCTCGCTAAAATCAGAACTGTAGAGTACGGAGTTTGGACGGTCAGATATTGACATTGACGAGGAAATGCGATAAATTCTTCGCTCAATATTTTGTTCGCATATTGGAAATTGGAAATCTTTTGAATGGGATTCTATCAAAGTCAACACAGGCACATGAATGATGACAAGGAGAATAAAGAATTTTAGGAGATTGAGCTGCACAAACTGCACAAAATTTATTTCAATAGCATATTTTCAATTATTTAGCAGAGGTCAGCTTGAAGAAAGCTTTTTGTGCGCAAAAATAGGTAGAACTACGCTTCGACTTTCAGTAGCTGAACGACAGAAAGCGCATTGAACAAATCTTTTGTATGCACGCTCAAAGAACCCATTCTCAACCAACCAATTTTTAAATTTTTGAGAGATTGGTGCAGCTTTACATGAGAATTATCGATTGACTGTTATTTGTAATAATAGGTAAAAGTTTTTTAGGATTCAAAACTGTGAGAATTGATTGTGGATATTGATCACTGCGTTTCTCTATTCTGGTAACTCTTAGAATTGCAGGACAAGACAAATCAAGTTCAGTGTTTGGCCTTGGTGTTCCATACCATTTAGCTAAAGTCTTGTCATCCCAGAAAAATTTAGTCAGACTCATGTCACGCATTTTGATAAAGAGACAATCAGGATTAAAGTTGGCATGTATTCTTGCAACATCGTTGGCAACGCAGTCTTCTGCGACTTGTAGACCACAAGAAAAACATGCTATAACTTTGGCTTCAGGTATAAAAGGTGTAAATGTTAAATACGCGGTTTTGAATCGCTAATAACTTTTTTGTCCTTTGTCCGATTTCAAAATTTTTTTCGATTGTATGTAGTCAAATAGTTAAAATTTGTTCATTATAGTTCGAAAAATTATATGATTACGTTTAGGGCGAGAAATTACGCCCCGAAATCGAAAAGGTTGATTTTAGCCGAAAACCTCTACAAAAATAGTCAAACTTTCAAAATTTCATGCAAATTTTTAACGGAGCAACAAAAAATGGAGCAAAAAATTATCTATCGAATGATGTCCACTTTGTAGTTATACGACTCTGACTTCAAAAAATATCGGATCTTGAAGTTAGGCAAAACGCGCATTGAACATTGGCATTTTATTTTGGATTGGTCTAAATTGCTAATCATGGTATTTACGCCAGAAAAATCTAATTATTCGTTATTTTCAGGATTAGAATTGACTGAATTTTTAATTTTCCTATCTTGAATCCTGTCATAAAAAATTTCTAAATTCGACTATTTTCGAAGCGAAAATCAACTTTTTCGACTTTGGGGCGAAATTTCTCACCCTAAACGTAATCATATAAATTCACGAACTATTATGAACAAAATTTTAACTATTTGACTACATACAATCGAAAAAAATTTCGAAATCGGACAAAGCACAAAAAAGTTATTAGCGATTCAAAACCGCGTATTTGACATTTACACCCTGTATAATAAAACCCAGAAGATATCGCGATTTGAAAAAGTTGATAAACCTTTTCATAGTTCAAATCTGTCTGTGTTAGAAATGATTGAGAATTAAGATCACTGTCTCTCTATTCTGGTGACTCGTTAAGTTGTAGGACAAGACTTTAATTGTGCAATTGTTTTAAGAAGTCTAATTCAGATCTATTTAGTTAGCCTCATTGTTTGAAATTATTAATTTTTATCGTATCATTGTATTCAAAATTATCATTGAAATTAGTCTAGTTTGGTTAATCTTATTGTTTGAATCATTGATTTTGATTGTGTAATTATGTTTTCATTTTCAAGTTTGCTGTGACAATTTTGTTTAAGTGAGTTATCTTGTGTATTTCTACTACTACTGAAGTCACGAAATTCCCAGTGAAAATCAATGTCAATTGACCGCAGAAAGCTATTAGGGGCGATCTTAATAATATTTCCCATTATAACTAGCCAGCTGTTCAGTATGATGTAACACTTCGTTTTTCATGCAAAACAAATGTCAAAGCATGTTTTTACAATAATGATGTAATACACCGGTTAAATTTTTATTTACGAAGAAAATGAATAAGACAGAAAAAATGGATTTTTTCATTTATGATTATTATTTTCGTCGATTAATGCGAATATATGTTCAGACACTTCAAATAAATTGTGATTGATTCATTTTGCCAAGTGAATTCGTGTTGCTATTTTGTGCGATTTTTATGAGATGTTTTCAACGGTAGAGAAAATTTGCCAAAGCCAAAACAATAGTTAGCGATAGTGTCAAAAGTGAGGCTATGAAATTGGTGTTGATGAAAAAAAGTTTAGCGAAAGTGAAGCCAACATTATTCAATTGCATTCGATTGAAAAATATGTGTGTCTATTGCAACAAGGAAAAAGAAGGAAAATGTAACCAATTAAAAAAGGCCCAATCCTCTCATTCGAATTAAAATGAAAAGGTTACTGAATATCTTGATAATTCTTATGTAAGAACTTACCTGGAATTGCAGTTTAATCGAGTTTACATCATATGAAATTTCGTATAAATCTTCTAAACCATTGGCGGACAATTCACTTACAGCCACAAGTTTTATCGTCAAGTAGCTCAAATTGATCGTATCCACGATGAAGAAACTGGCTGAGCGCCAATTATAGCGATATGTATCTCCAAGAACTTCAACAAAATTCAACATATTATACATAACGTACTGAAAATAATACCAAGAAATATAAATGCAGAGAAACTTTTCTGCATGTCGAGTCACTCGATCTTTATGACTGTGCAATAAACGGCAATATCTCAATCTGTTCAACTTTGTAGAGTCTGGAGTGGATCTTGGGAAATCCTTAAGTTGAGAAGTGACAAGTTGAAAAGCAGCTTTCAAGCAAATAAAAACATCAGAAATAATATTAAAGAAGAAAATGTCGGACATTTTTGTGAGTGAATCAAACAAATTCAAGAATAACGGAAAGATTGTGGCTTCTTCAGAGAACAACGTTGAAAAAATTAAAAATAAATAAATTATTGCCGAAGACAAGCAAAATAAAACTTTGGTTCGTCTTTCACTTCTAATCTGAGAAACCATTTTCTCATGATTTTCAAGCTGTAAAGTACTCATTCGGTCAATATAATCTTTAAATGATGACCGATCCAAGGTAAAAACGGCGACTAGAATGTGGCTAATTGGAATTAAGTTATCGACGATCAAGCGCACACCGTTAAATATGCCTGCTATAGACTGAAAATTAAGAAAATGTAAATCTTCAAATAACTGAATAATGCATCTGAGCAGTCCAAATATTGTAAGGCTAATGCCAATGAATTAACGAAAATAGGGCGATAAAATTACTTCGTGTGGAACCAGAAAACCTTTGAATATGAAGGATTCAACTACTTCCATTTTGCAAGCGCTTAAGTTGTAGCTTAATGCACTTTTCATCTGGAAAAATTGTGATTTGATTTGACTACTGCGAGTAACTGAAATGAAAGTACGTCAAGCAAAACTATCTTTTGAAGTTTCCATTTTAAACACCACAAAGGTTGTAAAAGGTAAAGAAATTAATTACTGACCGCACCTAGGTTCATCATTGCTGCGAGAAAAGTTAATCAATCATGAAATTTACTTATATTTACAGTCTTTTCAAAACCATTGTATTGCTATCGATCAAAAACTTATAAAGGCAAAAGGTACAATTGAAATTATTATTGATTGTTATGTTCTAATTTTTCCGGTCAACAAGTTCTGCCTTTTATTAAATTCCATCCCCAGTGTTCAAACTCTTTTTGACTCATCAATAATGAAAATTCTGTCTTGATTACTAAAATTATGTTCCTAAGTGATAATATGATATTGTCATTGTTATCAATAGTCGATTTGCAGCATTTCGTAAAGACCAAAAACGGCTAAAGAAAACAAAGAGAGGAAAGACTTCTAAAACAGTTCCTACTTCCTACTATTCTGTCTTGTATTCAAATGTCCAGTCAAAATATTTATTGCTAAAATGTAATACATTCATGAAACAATTGCTATTATAAACTATGAGCTTATTGAATTTGAAAGTTACAGTGGTCATTTAAGGGTGAATCCTCGAAAATTGTTATTTTGAATGTTTTAAAAGTTTTAACTGTTTCTTGAAACTTTTTTGTTTTCCTTTTGAATCAGGTAAAAATGACACGAGTTATGCTGATAGACTAGACTTGATGAAAAAATTGGAAGAGATTAAGGTTAACCGAGTCATTGACCAAGATGCCTTAATATGGTTAATGTTGAGCTATATTCTGTTGATTGCTGTTGGCTCCATTGGTAATGGGCTTGTTTGTATTGCAGTTATACGTAAACCTTCAATGAGAACACCTCGAAATCTATTCATCATTAACCTTGCCATTTCTGATCTAACACTTTGCCTCATCACGATGCCTTTTTCTTTCATTGAAATTGCTGCCAAATTTTGGTCTCTGGGTAAGTACATTGTTGCAGATTCTTATTGAACCTGTCTTCAGCAAACCTAAAACAATATAAAAATAGCATAAGATCAAAGAAAGCTGCACTTATTAATTCAACTTTGAAGAGAACCTTGAATGTTTTCCTTTTTCCGAAATCAAATCAAATTACTGGGTGTCCCAAAAGTCACTTAACATTTGAATTTGCTATAACTTTTGAACGACTGCAGATACAGGGACCGTTCATACATAAAAATGAATGTTTAAAAAGGGGATTTAAGAAAATTGGGACACGGTGTAAATTTAGCGAAATCTGCAAGCTTTCTCAAGAATCTCATCAAACCATTTCTTGTGCCAAAGTTACACACGCGTAAATACTTTTGAATATCACTTGTAATAATTGAACTAAATCTTTTCGTAATTATTTATTGAGGCCAAGAAATTGCGTTAGTGATTATTTTCATAATAACATAGCTGAAAATTTAAGTTGAAAGTTGTCATGCATCGTCTTAAGTATCACAAATAGATCTTGATCAGACCATCTATTAATAGATCAGATTTCAATGAATTGTATAATAAAAATCAGATGCAAAGCTATAATATTTTCATGTGCAAATGCTTTGTTAACGTAATTCAAAACTCGCAAACATCTGGCAATAACTTTTGTTTAATGTCACAAAAGAGTCTAACAGAAGAAAGTCTGGTAGAAAGAATGGTTTCACTTATTAAAGTTTAACAACTTTTTGTTCTCTTCTCGCCACAGGATTATTTACCTGTAAGCTGATTGCAGGGTTGGAGGCAACTTCCATATTTGTGTCGACAATGTCCATTACCGCAATTGCATTGGATCGTTATTTTGTAATAATCAAACCAACTCCAGAAACGCCAAAAATAACTGGTATTCTTTACGGCCTTTTATCCATTTGGATCATTGCTCTTATCCTTTCAATTCCTCTTTTCTGGTCCCGAACAACATATAGAATTGAAGTTCCCGAAATATTGTCTTCCGGTAAGAATGCTCATGAACGCACTCACTCTACTACATGCCGATTCAACGTCTACACTTGTAACTCATTTTGAAGTCAACTTTTGTAAATGTTGAGATGAAGCATAAAAACTCAACTTTTTGTAAACTAACATTACTCAAACTTACTCAAAGATTTTCTTTTTCTTTCCATGTGCTGCCACTTTTCCATCGGATTCGCTAATCAGCCGATCATTCGAAGGAGACACTTGAATATTGTTATGAAGAATGGCCAGTGAATAGAGGAAGAGCCATTTACTCTGTATTTACGATAGTCCTTCAATACTTTGTTCCAACCATTTTGGTGACTCTGATTTACATGAAGATTTACAAAAGACTGAAAAACCGCATGTCTCAGAAGCGAACTGCCATTAAATTAGATGAACGAATAAAGGCTGAAGAAAGGCGAACCAAGAGAACCAATTATCTGTTAATATCAGTCAGCTTGATATTTGGTATAAGCTGGCTGCCGCTCAATATACTCAACATTATTTCTGACGTTTACTATCCTTTTCAAGATACATCAACTTTTCGAATCGTTTTTGCCTGCTGTCACATGGTGGGAATGAGCTCTGCCTGTTTCAATCCACTTCTCTATGGATGGCTCAATGACAATTTTCAAAAAGAGTTTAAAGAAATTTTTGCTCTTATTACTGGAAAACTGAGCTCTTGCTGTTCAGTTAAGGGTTCAATAATCTCAGGGAGAACATCAATTTCCTTGGAAGGTAGGATTGAGACTACAGTAGTTTATGGTGAATCACACGATAAAGAGTCTAACCATTTACAACACATGCATCATAAGAGTAGCGACACTGACCATAATACCGGCAATTGTAATACAAATAGTGACACCTCAAATGGTAATGGTAGTGCTGCTAAAAAATCTTTGGTCGTTAAACAAGTGTAAAACAATTCCATGTAAAATTACTAAACAATTTGCTCATTTAAAGAGAAAAATGTACTTTCATTAAAAGATGACGTTCAATGAATGGCGAACAAGATTCAATCAATTCTTTTTTCGTACTCACAGAAACCTCAATGTCCTGTGTATTCAATGATATTGTATTATATATTGATAGGGGAGAAAATTTTTGGTTATTCAGACGATAAAGAAACTTCATAGCATAAGCAACAGACTGGTACCTATAGCCAACTTTTCAAAATGTTTTGAAATAATCTTTATTCAGTCGTTGTGATAACAAAGTTCTAACAATTAGTTGTAAGAATATTTTGTTGATTTGACTCAAAAAATTGCATAATGATTAACAATAATCGCTTTTTCAAGCAAAAATGAGTTCTGAATCATGTCAAGTCAAGGGAATATTCACAAAATGGCTACAACATAAGCGAAGGACGAGCGAAAAATTTTTTCAGTCGTTAAGGTAGGCAAAGTTCTCATAATATTTTGATGATTTCACTTGTTTTATGGTGTCAATAATCGAATAATGATTACCAATAATCGATTCTTCCAAGCCAAATGAATCAGATAAATGCGCGTATATTGCATGATAGAAGCATAATGAAGCAAGCATTTTCCAATAGCAACTGAAAATAAAAGATCATAATAACCATTATGAATATTTAGCATAAAATCAGTTCATTTATTCATTCGAACTTGGTTTTAGCAAATATCTATTAACAACTCGATCGAATCTGAACATTTGATACAAAACTACTTTTAGTATTTATTTAATGCACAAATCTTCCAAAATAAATCACTAAACGGACATGAAAGTGGTTGTTGACTTAAAAGTGCAACAACAGAGATTATCGAAACTCACTTTCAATGTTTGTGTAAAACTTGATCAAATTGAGTCATCAATATTTACATTTCAACTTACATTGATGCAAGTAGATCGTTTGAATATACCAAAATCGCCAATATGCGCACCGATATATTTACTATCAAGTCTGTCCAATATTTCAATCGCCTAATCAATAAAATGAAATTTAAAACCATTATGTTAAATGAAACTGGATGAAATCATCAAAGTAATCATTTTGTTTCATAGTAACATTTGAATGATTAAAATAATTATTCGCAGCAATAATCACTAATTTTTATCCACTCACACTAGTCAGGGTTAAGTTAACAAAAAAGGTCCAGAGTTAAGTTAACTTTAAAGTGTCGCCATCTCGAGCATTTACAGTTTTATGAGACACTAAACAATGCAATCTATGAAAAATTGAATTCGATCTTAAAGGTACTTTGATTTTTTTTGTATGACGACTATGAAAAAGTCTCCAATTTTCTTAACTTAACCCTGACCACTAGTGTACTTACTTTTAGTTTAACTTCATGTTTATGGTATTTAGTTTTTGACATTAGTTGGCAATAATATGTGTAGACCTTGATAGACTTGAGAAAGATTGTCAGTATAAATGATTTGATCGCAAGTTGAACTTACCTCTTGGAAGAAGAAAGCGCCCAAATAGCAGTAAATGAATATTAAAATGTGTGATAGAAAGCCGCTAATAGCCATTATCCTTGTTGTGACATCAGGCTCGAACTCAAAAATGAAACCAAAAAAAATGGCAAAGTTGCCAAAAGCAGAGACAGAGAAGATTGCATATTGAAACAGATATTTCGATTCATCATTAAATTGACTAAAATCATTCAGAAAATCTATCATTTTATCATTCATTTGAGATAATATTGAACAGCTTAATGGTCTATTCATAATGAGTTTCTTGCAATAATCAGTTAGTGTATTGGAACGCCCAATAAAAAAAATTATCAAAAGTATAATGTAAACTAATTGACACAATGCACTGTTTATCAGCGCAAATAAAGCAATGAATTCAAAAGGCATGAAAATAACATCGAACTTATAATGCTGTAAAGTTAAACACTCTTGTGGCTGAGAAGCACGCAGATAAATGATACCGAATAATATGATGAATGTACACAAGATTGTTATTCTTATGCCATTGACTGCTACGAAATGAAACCATTTGTGAAATTGTTTAAACCGGAGTTGATTCATCTTGAATGATTCTGCATTAAAACTGTTGCTTTCCAATTCGAGCAGCACTCTGATTCTTTTTATTCGACCAGTTTCTTCAAGTCGTAAAATGTACTCACGAAGAACAAAATAAATAACACTTAAAAAAATTATGAACAATAGCATAGTATTCTTCTTGGCACCTTTACTTCCATTGAGAGGGTTTGCCAAATACAAGTTAGAATAATAATTGTCAAAAAAAATGAATAGCATTAAACGTACAATCAATATTACAATAAGGAATCGAATGAACCAATTTTGAAAGTGAGCTTTCAGTTTAATCGAGATATTCAAGGTTTGTCGCAGTCCATTTCGACGACTTACCACTGCACGAAATAGTTTGTCCCACAAATGAATAGCTTTAGTCGTACTAATTTTAGATTCATTTTGAAGACCGACTAGTTTCAGAAGATTTTTTTTTATTTTATCGACAAAATAGCTTTGCATCAGGGCAAAAATTGCAGCTCTCAGATATATAAAAAAATTTACCATATCGAATTCGTCAAGTTTGCAAGTAATTGATATCTAAGAAACTTTAAATATTGCTATGTTATAAATGTCAACACTTGATTCGTCTCAAAGACAACATTTTGATCGGGTAAATGATAAAATTTAATATCCAAGCCAACATTATCTTTTTATTGATTTTATTGATGATTTTATGAAACTCAAATGTAAGACTGATAGAGTTGAATTAGCAAAAAAATACTTTGTATTTTAATACAAATCAGACAGAAATTCACTGACGCTGAAATTGCAAAATTAATAGACTATTCTGATTTGACCGTCAGAAGATGGAATTTCGATAGGAAATCTTTAACTTTTGTAAAAATGCGTATGAGCAGCTAACAAAAAACACTTTTTATCTACTTGACGAGAGCTTCCAAATGAGCTATAGAACAACAAAATCGGTTGGTACCGATTCGTGAAGTTCCCTTGTTAGAAAGATATATTCACAAAAAGTTCCGCATCTTAACTCAAAATGCTAAAAAAGTGAATATTTCTGGAGACCCTCCTTTAAGATCATTTAAGTTCAATGAAACTGGACATAGTTGGCTATCCGCCAATCATGAGCCATCATGAATAGTTTTGCTAAACCTTGCTCAAAGTGCCCTGTTTGATAAAATTGAAAGCGTTGAAAACAAATTTGGTCATAAGTAATAAAAATAAGTTATTCAAATCTAATACTGTAATATTGTTTGTGATGCTGTTTTGATTATTGACTCTCAGGACAAAATTGATGGCACTCTCTCCGATAATTGATTTTCATAAGTGTTTGGAGCCATTCCACTGTGATATTTGTTACCAATAAGCTCATAGAATCAACAATAATGGTTCCACGAGCAAACTGATCAAATAAATGATAAATAAATGAATAATTATCGGTTAATGGTAATAAATAATTGATTATTCCAAGCCAACCTGAGTCAAATAAATGCACGGACATTGCATGTTAAGAGCATAATGAAGCAATTATTCTCCAATAGCAACTGCAAAAAAAAGATCTTAATAATGATTAAAGCTATAAATTTTTGATAAAGCAAAGTATATTATTAACATGCAAGTCGGCTCAACTCTTCACTTTGAGCTAGTTTCAGCAATTTTCTGTTTATAAATTTATCAAATTGCATCAATTTATAAAAAATATTCATTAATTGTGCAAAATCTTGCATAAAAAATCCCTTAATTGAGATGAAAGAGATAGTTGTATATAAGTGCGCCAGAGAAATCATTGTAACGTCATTTAATGTTTTCTTCATTTTAAGAGTGTTGAATTTCATAAGAATCCAGATTTGCTAAGCTGCTATGCATTTCAAAATTTCATGATATTTGCTATGGTAAAATTTCCTGAATCTTGTAGATACCTGTATAATACTTTCAACAAGTTTGATTCTAACTAACATTGATGCAAGTAGATCGCTTAAATAAATCGCCAAAATTGTCAATGAGAGCTTCGATGAATTTACTATCGAGTCTGTTCAGTATTTCGATCATCTGGTCAATAAGATAAAATTTTAAGGCTGATTTGAGCTGCGTTCATAAAATCATCTTTATCCACTACTTGCTTTTAGCTTAATTTCAAGTTTGCTGGCATATATTAGTTATTATAATAGTTTTTGACATAAGTTTGTGCCATTTGTGCGCCTTGATAGACTTGAGGTAAACGTAAAGAATAGTTTTAAGTATAAATTGTCTAATCTAAAGTTGAAAATACCTCCTGATAGAAAAAAGAGCACAAAAACAACTAGCGAATACTCCAAAGGGCGAAAAAATGCCAACAATAGTCATAATCCTTGTTATGACGTTAGGTTCAAAATCAAAAATGAAACCAAAAAACAGGCAAAGTTGCCAAAAGCAGAGACAGAGAAGATCGCATATTGAAATATAATAAATATTTCGATTCATCAAATCGACTGAAATTGTTTAAAAATATATTAATTTATAATTCGGTTGAGATAACTTTGAGCAGTTTAATGATCCATGAAATATAACAAGTTTCTTGCAATAATCAGTTAATGTATTGAAACGTGCAGTAAAAATTCTACTGAAAGCATAATATAAATAAATACGACCAACGAACTGTTTGCTAGTACAAATAAAGCAATAGCTTCAAGAGATATAATTAAATGAGCCGTGTAATGCTGACAGGTTGAACACTCATTTGGCTGACAGCGCAGACAAACAATACCAAATAATGAGATGATGGTTGACGATGATTGTTACCAGGATTACAACCCTCAAGCCATTGACTTATATACTAGGTCAGACGATCGCTCGCCGAAATCGGAGCGTTAGAATAGATTGAATCTATCGTATTTTTATTGCAATGTTTCGTAAAATTTACTCGCTAAAAGAAACATTTGGCAATTTGATAGATTCAAATGTTAACCGCTAAATATTGACCAGGTCCTAGTTGGAACTCAGACTACTCACGATCTGTTTCAACTTACAACGGAAGCTTCTCTGTTTTGATAATTTATGCCAGAATTTACGAAGTCAAATGAATTCATTTTCTTCCTCTAACTTCTTTCGTCATCATTTAAAGCATCTATATTTCGAACTTCAATCTTTCTACCAATGAGGCCTTTGAAACTATTCACTTTAAATCCTCTTCAATATTTGACTGAATCATAACCTATGATCATCTGATGCGAAAAAGTGGGCAACGATCAATGCACCATTCATTTAACATGGTTCGTTGAAGCACATTTAATATGAGTTTTTCAGTATTTGCCCGTGTTTTCAGCCATATCAGTTCAAATATAAGTACCATAATGATGATCTTTTGTGAGTATGATGAAAAAGCATCAAAAATTTATAAATGACCTTCAAATGACCTCTCAAGGTCAAAGGTCGAATTCCCAAAAAATGACCTCTGATGGCCTTGAAAGTCTTTTCAGCACATCTGCACAAATTGTTCGACGTATGTTTTTAGTTTCAAGTGATTCAGGCAAGTGGTTTAGGTGATATGGCCGCTGACAGAAACCAAAAAGACGATTTTCAAAATGGCTAAGCTGAGTTAAAATCTTCACTTCGCTTTGCTACGCTCCGATAAAAATGCATCTTTTCATGGAAGTTTCTAAATTGAAAATGGCCCATCTTAAATGATTCTACATTGAAACCGTTACTTTCTAAGAGCAGCACTTTGATTTTTTTATTCGAATAGTTTCTTCAAGTCGTAAAATGTACTCACGAAGAACAAAATAAATAGCACTTAAAAAAATTATGGACAATAGCATAGTATTCTTCTTGGCACCTTTACTTCCATTGAAAGGACTAGCCAAATACAAGTCAGTATAATAATTGTCAACACGAACAATTAAAATTACAATTAGGAATCGAAAAAAGCAATTTTGCAAGTGAGTTTTTAGTTTAATTGGCAGATCAAAAGTTTGTCGCAGTCCATTTCGACGACTTATTACTACTAGAGACAGTTCGTCCTATAAATGTACAGCTTTAGTCGTGCTCATTTTAGAGTCATTTCGTTGACCGATCAGTTTCAGCATCAATCTGCTGAAAAACTTTATGCATTTTGATAGCATAAAGTTTTTTTGGGATGGTAACGATTACAGCACTCAACATGAAAGAAAATTTTTTCGCATGAAATTTGCCAACGCTGCAATTGATACCAAACTTGGATTCTAGGAATTATAAGAATTGTCAACACGCGATTCGTTTCAAAGTTAACATCGTAATTGTATAAAATTAAATATTTAAACCAACAATATCTTCCTATTGATTCAATTTATGACTGTGAAAGAAAACTTAACACTTTACACTTAACAGAAAAATCAATCGTTATCAATATTATTTATTTTAGAGTTTATCTAAATTATGTAATTATT